CAGAACAACAAGGAAGCGGGAAAAGCTCGAGAATCTACTGTAGCTGACAGAGATATACATTTTTATGAATCGGAGAACGAAATGGTTCAGATAACAGTGAGGAGGCGCGAAAATGAGAGCCTCGCCCAGAGCTTCAACCGCATCCCAGACGCATGTTAGCGTCCGAGCATTTTCAGTAATCGCCGTGTTAAGTTCAAACTTCAAAGCCCCCACAACCGGCGCATGTAGCGTCCGAGTGCTCGAGTTTTTCACTTTGCGGTTGGGGGAAGACGGAAATATTTTTGTACCAAAAAAACAAAGACAAATATTCTTATGGGCCGGGGAGAAAGGACCAAATATTCTTATGGGCCTTATCCGCAAGAAAAGCGCATAACAACCCCAAAGCCTATAAATGCATCAAAAACTAGTCCGTTTTGAAAGTCAATTGCATAAAAAGAAAATTGCGTCCCGCACCGCCACACAACAACTTATTTGCACTATTACGAGTCAATAAAAATATTTAGTAAATCTACCAAATCTTGTATTTTTAATTGAAGACAAATGAGAATTATATTATTCGACATAAATAAGGTTATTGGGATACTCCCTAAAATTAGGGGAAAACGTATGCAACTCTCTATCTCTCTCTCTCTCTAGCAGATATTACGATACCAAAAACCCTCACCGATGACTCTCTCCCACACCGTCTTCGTCTCATCCTCCACCGTCTGCCTTCGTCTCCCGCGAAGAGGTTCGATCAATCCTCGAGTTCATAAAAGACATCAAATCCGACCCTTCCAACATTGTCTTCTTCTCTTGGGTGCCCCCTGCTGACGCCTTCGCTTGCCCTGATGACTAATACGAGTCGTCTGCTACACTACCGCCTCTGCGGTTGTCGACAACCTCTGTCTCACATCACATGTGAACTGAAATTCTGGATCCTTGCTCGCAAATCCGTTATCTCCACTGACAGAGTTTGTCCAAGGTGGCATGAGGAGACGAAGGGTGGTCGTGACCTGGGGCATCGAAGGTGGATGGGGAAGGGCAACGGATGAGGCGGAGTAGTCTTCATCGAGATCGGAGAATTCGTTGTCGTCAAGGAGGTCCTCATCTTCATTGAAGTGACCAGGGTCGCGGGGTCATCGGTAAAGACCATCGGAGAATTTTGGTGGCTAGGTTTTAGTTGAGGGGAGGACCAGACCATACGATATATATGTTGTATATATGTAGTATATTTATACTTTTTTTGGTTTGTGTAGTTGCAGGTTTATATATTGTATATTTTTCATATATATACTGTTTATATTTTTTCGTATGCACATTATTAGAGCGTATAGTTTGGTTTTTCTTATGAAAGATGTTGACATAAAAATCACCTCATAAGCCGATTTGGTGACACGTGTATCGTTTGAAGAGGCAAACAGAAAAACCGAGGTGAGAGGGAGTGCATCTGCCGAACAGGTGAGCCGACCTCAAGGAGTAGACCGACCTCGGTCAAGTCGTAACCCCGAAAAGCCGATGTCACCAGCCGCCGACCGCATTAAATGCTTTTCCATCAAACGTCTCGGTCCACGTGAAAGCCATCATTATCGAGGAACCCAATCGTTGAAAACCTGAGCCTATGCTGTCACAGCGCATAAAATGCCGCCGAATCTCCTCAAAAGACAAGCCAATAGCTACTATAAATAGCAGAATACGAGGATCTTTTTCCTACACATTAAATATTGTATTTATCACCTTGGTCTAAACAAAACCGACCTCATGTATAAAAAACAGACATCCTATATGAAATACCGACCTGCGGTATCTCCAAATCAGATCATATTTGGTCAATAAATCACCCTTTTTACGCTCTAATCCGTCTTAATCCATACTTAAATAGTTGATCAAATCCATTTATCAATAAAAGATTTGAATTAAAAATCAGAAGGATCGGCATGATCCTAGGTATATGTATTGTATATTTTTCGTATATATACTGTTTATATTCTATATATTTTTGTATAAGTTGTGTTCTCCCACCATCTTGTTGCTTATAAAATGGACGACGTTGCTCGTGAGTGACGCTGCTCGTGATGGACGACGCTGCTCGTGATTGTTTAGCTCAATTTTTTTTTTAAATTAATGAAAGAATCCCGCCAGTTACATGATTCTTGGGATGGTAACTCATTATTTTTGTTTGGGCCTTATATTGTAGTTATCCAAAAAATTATGTTAAGATACACATAGTTGCAAATAAGTTTTTATTTTTGTAGTTATGCAATTCTTTTAAAATCCTTAACGTATAAATGTAAATCACCCTTGCATAAAATGCTTCACCTATGACAACTCCAATGTGCTAATATTGACCCACCCTTGCATAAAATGCTTCACCTATAACAACTCCAATGTGCTAATATTTGTGGGTCAAGGGACTTGTACTCCTAGACCGATATTATTTGGCATGAGTCCATTTTTGGGCAGTCCACTTGATTCTAACAATCTTAGTCATTTGTATCTAAGTGATTTGATCCTGATCACTCGTTACCCTTTTTAAACATCCAAAAAGCCTCATTAGAAGTTTAAACTTTCATTCTTTTCACTCTGTTAGGCCTGTAAATGATCGAGCTGAGTTCGAGATTAGCTCGACTCGTTAAATAAACAAGCCAGAAATCGACCTCGAGCTCGACTCATTTATCACTATTAACGAGTCAAGTTCGAGCCCTAAACGAGCCGATCTCAAGATTCAACGAGCCGAACTATAGAAAATTTATTTAAAATTTCTCTTTTCAAGCCTTAACGAGTCTTATCGACCCGAGCTTGTTAACCGAATGAGCTTTAAATGGGTTTGATCTCGGCTCGTTAAGGCATCAAGCTTGAGTGAGCTCGGCTCGTTAAGGCATCAAGCTTGAGCCAAACTTGAGCCTTAACGATTCGAGTTCAAACTGAGCAGAGCCATGCTCGTTTAATTTAACAGCACGACACTCTGTACACTGCTCATTGTGTTTCTCGTTCCTGGGTTATACTTTGTGTACATCAATTCATTTTCCTCTTACCATAATAAATCGTTGTAATAATCGATTTGTTAGTGTTGTGATGGTCTTGGACCTCAACCTTCGTATTCTTTTCTATGAAAAAAGCGGTTTCTGGCAGAGCGTTGTGCGTCGGTCGGTGGTGTTACAACCAAGCTTGCAAAGCCAGAGCCGATTGCGGGCCCATTTTGTGGTTCCTTGATGACCGTTGAAAGGTTTAATGAAAGGGGGTTGAGGCAAGTCGTTGTAGATCCAATCATGTGGCCTTTGGGCACTCATGTTCGACCTCTAAAAAAGTGTAAACAAACTTCCTATTTTTTTATATAAGACACATCATTCTCGTTTTCTTTCAATATTCTTATTTTATAAAGGGTTGAAACATAATTGTCTATTATCAACTTGGGTTTCAACTTGAAGTCGATGCTGCAGGGAGAAACTAGGAGCAGTAAGGGTGTTTTTTTTGGTCCAACCGGGGGCTTCGCTTCATCTCGGATAACTTGTGGACGCCTAGCTCACTTGAATAAAGCATCCAAGGTCAACCCTTGTTCAACGGGCCAAATGGAGTCTCAAAAAAAGGACTACAAATTAAATCAAAACTCCTTATGTAAGATATATTTATGAAAATTTGACTAGGATTCCTGAATTCAAATTAAGGTATATAAGTTTGAGATTTAAGGGTCGTGATTGGATATGAGTAGTGTTGTTAAATTAAACAAGTCTGGTTTGACTCCGCTCGAATTCTGCTTGAGCTCGAGGCCTTAACGAGTCGAGTTTGAGCTCATTTAAGGTTCGTTTGGTTAACGAGTCGAGCTCAGCTCGACTCGATAAGATTTGAGAAGAAAAATTTTCTATAACTTTCTATGGTTCGACACATTAAAGCTCGAGATCGGCTTGTTAATAGTGATAAACGAGCCGAGCTCCAGCTTGATTTCTGACTTGTTTATTTAACGAGGTGACCTTGACTCGACTCGTAAGAGCTCGAGCTAGGCTCAGCTCAT